TGATAGACATAAACAATTACAATATATATTTTTGAAAGCATTCTTACTTTGCAGCATTTTTCACACCTGTCTAAAACAGTACTGTGTACAGTGGTACCTCGGGTTACGAACGCCTCTGCTTACAAACTTTTCGGGTTGCGACCAGCTCCGGCCGCAAAAATTTACCTCGGTTTCCGAACTCCGCCTCGGGGTACAAACCGGATCCGCGGCCATTTTCCGCCGTGACACGTGGTCCACGGCCATTTTTCTGCCCGTGACACGTGGTCCACGGCCATTTTCCGCCCGTGCCACATGGTCCGCGGCCATTTTTCCGCCCGTGCCACGTGGTCCGCGGCCGTTTTTCCACCCTGCCACGCAGTCCGCGGCCATTTTTCCACCCTTGACGTGTGGTCTGCGGACACCGGAACAGATTAATGGTAATTACATTGAACCTTATGGGAAAATTTGCTTCGGGTTGCGAACAAATCAGGTTGCGACCAGAGTCACGGAACGGATTAAATTCGTAACCCGAGGTACCACTTTATTTGAATTGAGTTGAATTTATGTATTGAATTGAGTTGAGAGAAGGCAGCTGCTCTCCCGTCTTTAGGAATTGTCCGAGGGAGCCTTGTAATTTGTTTCCCCCCCTCAAGGCATGGCAGGGAGACCTCTGATAATGGGAACCCAGCAGAGCTGCTGGGAAGGACAGGCATATGGGCTTTTGGCCTGGAAGGACTCGCCCTGTTGAACTGTGGACCACCATCTTGAGCGCTGAGCGAGAAAGGGAGGGAGCAACAGTTGGGGGTGGGACACACATCAGGGAAAGGGATTTCCTGGCTTCCTTTGCCTCCAGGGGCCTGCTTCTGGCAGGCCTCATGCTCGGAACAGGCAGAGGGGGCCCTCAGAAGTGCCTTGGGGCTCGTGCCTTTTTTGGGGCATAGAGTTGGGAAGGGTGCCTTACCCAAGCCCCAGGGTGAGACCAGCATTATTGGGGAGCTGCAGGGAAGGGACCCCTCCTTTTGGGGTTCCATGAGTGTCCAGGCTGAGCTGGCTGCTCCTCCACTTTGGGATGGAGGACCCACTTCATTCCGTTGGAGGCCCTGCAAATAAGGAAGAGCCCTGTCTGGACATGTTCCCGGTCCTTTGATCTGAGCCTAGAGTAAGGAAGGGTCCATCCAAGCTAGGAAAGGCCTGGTTCATCCCTTGGCAGGGTTTCTGGGGGGTGACTAGGAGCTGGGGATCTGGGGTGAGCCAGCTCAAGAAGTCCTTTGGCGAATTGTCTCCTCACACTGCATCTTCAACAGTGGACTGGCAAAAACAATCAAAGGGGCAGGCAACAGAGTGAGTGGGGCTTTGCCTAATGAGCCAGCTGGTGGGTGATTGGCCACTTTTGCTTCCCACAGACCTGGAAGCTGAGGGTGACCACTGAGCAAGGGAAGCAGAGTGTAGTGGCAGTGATTGGGCATGAAGGACAGCACCTCCTGGTGGAAGCGGATGGCACAGTGCACTGTGGGCAGCCAGTGACAGACAAGCAAAGCCAGTTTCTGCTGGAGGTACATCCGAGTGGGGCATGGACCCTCCAGCAGTTGGAGAGCAAGAAATTCTTGGAGTCTGATGGCGAGGACGTCTTCTGCGTGTCCCTAGGCCTGACTGCCCACCACCTGTGGATGCCCCAACTGGCCGAGCATGCGCATGTGGTCCTCTTCAACCCCAGCAGCCAGCTCTATGCTCGGACTGACCCAGAACTGAACCGGGTCTGGGTGGATGCCCCTGTGCCCTACCTGGAGGAATGCAGCTTCCTCCTGAGGTTCAGGAAGGGAACTTGCCACCTGGAGACCTCCAACCAGAAATTTGTGTCCAGAGCAGAGAAACTTGCCAAGATGCCCTCCACAGAGACAGCCTTTCACCTGAATCTAAAGCCCGGTTGCCTGGTGTTCCTCACAGACATGGAGGGGCATGTCTTGTACCCTCAGGGCAGGCGAGGGCTCCTCTGCCTTGGGGACCACCCAGTGGAGAATGAGGAGTGGTTTGTCATCAAGCGGTGTCCACAGTGGGTCAGTCTGAAAACAAGAACCAACAGATATGTCAGCATCATTTCTGGTAAGTAAACCCAATTTTTCCAGCTCAAGGAAAAATGGTAGGAACAACTGTCTAGAAAGCAGAGCCCCGCCCCACCCCTACCCTACCAGATCACTACAAAACTCGGGCCACTTTAGAATTTGGGTGGGGACAGAAGGAGTCTTCACCTGCCACTCCATGTTATTTCTTAAAATAAGAAAAGAAATCACATCAAAGGCTTTGCCCTGAGTGACTGCCATTACCTCAGAAATAAATCTATCTATAATTTTTCCCTCCTTGCATACAGTGAGCATCTAATGAGACGTGAATTCTAGCATAAACATTAAGGGCTGTAAAACTCTCATCTATACGAGCCCAATGAAAACAGGGAATCTAATGTCAGTTAAACATCTACAAAATATTGTGATAATACAATCATTGGATTTTGTTTAAGAAAATCATATAGGTAGTCCTTGACTTACGACTACAATTGGGACTGGAACTTCCATCGCTAAGCGATGAGGTCGTTAAGTGAGTTTCACCCGATTTTATTACCTTTTTTGCTGCGGTCATTAAGCAAATCACATGGTCATTAAGCAAATCCAGCTTCCCCCATTGACTTTGCTTGTTGGAAGCCCCCTGGGAAGGTTGGAGATGGCGATCACGTGAGCCTGGGATGCTGCAACCGTCATAAATACATGCCGATTGCCAAGCACCCGAATTTTGATCACATGACTGCAGGGGCGCTGCAATGGTCATGAGTGTGAGGACCAGTTGTAAGTCACTTTTTGCAGCGCCATCGTAACTTTGAAACAAATGGTTGTAAATAGAGGACTACCTGTAATCTGGATAGAAATAGAAACTTGGTGGGAAGTGCAGAGGTGTACTACCTCCCTCGAGTAGCAACTCTGATCAGTTAGATACCTCGGTGGTAGGCACGGCCAAGCAAAATCTGGCCTTCCACCCCTGCCGGTTTCAGGCAGCGGATGAGCCCAGGGCACCGCTGTTGAGGCTGCCAACAAGGCACAGTCCTCAGGCCCCAGGTGGCTTTACTGTGCTCAACCATGGCTTAGGAGCAGCATACTGGGTGCCCTGGACTCCCACTGAGTCCAGAAGGCTCCCTCCAACATCCTTCTGGGTGCTTGCAAGCTGCCTGTCAACACACTGGTCTGCCTGCCAGTCTAGCCAATGGAAGGGTTGTGCCAAAACTACTTGGGAAAATGAAACTCAGAGCCAGGGTGGCATGGTGGTGCTGGTGGTCAAGCAGGTGACCAGGTTCAAAGCAGTCCTCAGCTGTGGAAGCTCGTTGGGGACTTTGGGCCAGGCTCCCTCGTGTTGGAAAATGTGGGGTTCCCACCAGGCCGGTCTCCCACGAGCACAAAGGGAGGGGCGGCTCTGCTGCGGCCCGGCTTTGCTGCCTTGTGCGGGAGCGGCTCGGAGCCCGCCTTTTTTTCCCGTTTCCCTCATTTTCCTTCTTCTCCTCATGGCTCTCCAAGAGGTAGGAATGAATCCTTTCTCCTCCTCGGGGTTTTTGTAGTAACATTTCACAACCCCAACACCTCACAGGGTTGCTGTTGTGGGGCTAAAAAGAAGGGAGATAGCCAGGCAAAGGGCCTTGGGTGCGACTGGAGTCCTGGGGGGGGCACGCGAATTAGCCCTCAGCTGCATTGCGCTTGGGCCTGCAGTCCAGCAACTGCTTTTATTTTGCTGTGCCCTGAAAATGACTTAGTTTTCCTAATGCTCCCTTCTACTAGAAGTTGCAACCACTTGGGGGGTTTGCAAAGCCAGGCTGAGCTGGCAGAGGCTCTTGTCCAGCTTAGGGAGGTGATCCTCCGCCGCCTCCTCTGCCTCCTCCTCCTCCCCCTCCTCGCTTTTGCCTTGTTCACGGTCCGAGAAGCTGAGGAAAGGAGGAGGGGCTCACTGTTTGATAGGGGCGTGTTTTGGTAAGGACATAATATGGGTCTCCCACTGAAGAGAGCATCTTGGTGGAAAAATGTCCCAAAGGCTGCATTCTCTGAGCTCCCTCCCATTCCAGCAGCACCACCGCCACCACCAGCTCTTTTCGTGAGGATGTGGCTTTTAACCCAAAGGGCTAAGCCAGTCTTTAGTCACAGTCAGCAAGCTGAGCAACTCACAGGGGACCCCCTCCTTCGAACCCCCTCCGGGGAGGCTTTCCCTCATAATTCTCTCTCGCTCTCTCTGCTCAGACTCTGAAGTCTACGCGGGTCCTAAGAAGGCGAGCCCAATGTCCACGTTCCTCTTTGAAATGGACCCTGGTACCCAAACGGTGCAGTTAAGAGACGTTCACCACAAGTACCTGGCTCAGGTCAGCCCCCCTGGTGCTGCTGCTCCATCCCCACAGCAAGGGGGAGGGCAGGGCCCTCGCTTCGTAGCAGCAGGGTCAGGATGAAATCCCTGGGGTTTCTGGGTGGGGAAGGTCAAACCCCGCACTCAGGACCAGGGAGACATGGCCGGGCAGCCGCCCACGCATGTGGCATCAAGCCCATGCAAGCAGGGTGATGCCGCAGCTGACAGGCTATGCCCAACCAGCAGTGGCCCTTTTGAGCTGAGACAGGACAGGATCAAGGGGGGAGATGAAAACCATGGGGATTCAGCCTGAATCTCAGGGACTATCGGGACAGGAAGAGTTGAGCAGCAGTGGGACAGTCTGCCTAGAATGGAGAGGCCTCCCCTGCTGGGAGGTTTCAAGTGGAGCTGGCCACCCGTCAGGGGTGATTCCTTGGCTTGGCCTGAGCAGAGGCGACTAGATGACCACCCAGTCCACTTCCAGCTCCCTCCTTCTGTCACCCCAAGACTGCCTTGGGAAATGGGAAGATCGGTTCCCTACCTTTTGGGCCAACTTTAGTAAAGCTGGTGCTACATTTTGAAGTTAGCCAGGCTGTCCAAGTCCTGTTTTCGGGGTGGGGTCTTTCTCCTGCATTGCTCCCCCTCTCTCAGCATGTAGAAAGTCTGCAAAGATGCATCCATTGGCCAGGCTTTTAACCCTTCCCCGATTTCGCTCTTAGCAAGCCGCTTCTCTTGCTAGTCCTGGGGGCAGGGGTGGGGGCTTCCTTCCTCTGTCTCTCCTGCTCACCCAGCTGGACTCTGGAGGGCAGCTCTTCCCTGCCTGGTCCAGCCCCAGCCCCAGGAATGAGGCCTCTGCCAGGGTGCTTCCTGACCGTTAGAGGAACAGAAGACCCTGCCTGCCACCCAGTTGGAGAGGGCTCTTGCCAAGCTTTCAGCAAAGGTCCCCCTACTGACCATGACGTTTCCCTTCCCCAGAGACAGTTTGAGAATGTGATGGCCGACGGGTATGCCACGGAGGTGGAGACCAGGTTCCAGGTCCTCTGGCATTATGGGAGGATCTTTCTGAAAGCTCCTGGGGGTCGCTACTTGGGAACGCTGCCAGTTGGACTGGTGGCAGCTCGAGCCATGCATCCAGGTGAGGAGGAGACCAGAAGACCCAACAGCCTGCAGCCAGTCCAGGGACTACAATTTGTGGCAGCACAGCAACTCCCTGGGAGCTCCTGTGGCCCATCCTGTCCCTGGAAGTGGCAGTGGGGCAGAATTCAGCCTGGGAAGGTCTTTCCTCCCCCAGCTTAACTCCTACCCTCTGCCAGGGTCTTGTGCACCCTTCTCCTGCTCCAAGGCAGGGCACATAATCCTGTCCAGCTTCTTACCATGGTTGCCACGAGTACAGCTCAGGACTTGCTGCACAACAGTCACATCCCAGTGAATCAACCTGCTGAGTTTGCTAGGGAGGGTCCCTTCTGAGACGCTTCCTCCACCCCCACCCCTCCTTTAGACTCAGATTTCGTTTATCTGACCGTTGTCTAGACAGAGCTCTCCCGTCTCCCAAGGTTATTCCACGGCCCATTACAGTAACCCATTGCCGAGATGCTTATTCAATAAACTATGGTCAAATAAAGTGGCTTAGCACAACATGTGAACTTGGGCACTCCTGCCCTCTAGGGTAGTGCCCTATATCCGGCTCCTCCCTTTAGTCCTGGCCTGAGCAGCAAAGCCAGCCAAGGCTTCCACCTGCTGCTCTGTTAGCCCTTCAAGGTAGACCGGACTAGGAAACCAAAGTTAGAACGCTAATACCACCTTTATTATAAGGTTCCAGAACCTTGCAGGTCTGAATGTGCCTCCGCCCTCCCTGCCTTTGTCTTTCAGAAGACTGGGGAGGGTCTTGCCTGAGACATTTTCTCAAATTACATTTCTGCTTTGGACTTCAGCTTCTTTTCTCTGATCCTTGTCTTGGTTGCAGCTCTTCCTCAGGGTCATTCCTTTGGCCCATTACACCTGAGCAGCAAAGCCCCTCAAAGCTCCCGTCTGCCCTTCTGTCAGCCCTTCAAGGTAGACTGGACTAGGAGACGAAAATCATGCAGGCTAATACTAATTTTATTACAAGATTACAGTAATAGTCTTGCACATCTGAACTAGGGAGGGTCTTGTCTGAGGTGCTTTCTCAGGTTACAGTTCTGACTTGGACCCTCAGGTTTCTTTGTCTGGTCATTGTTGTGGTAGCAGCTCTTCCTCCTGCTTCTCAAGGTTATTCCTCCCACCCATTACATCCTCTGCCAGGCTGGCTCTGCCACAGGGACAGGAGCTCTTGGCTTGATTGGTCCACTTGTTCGTAGCCTTTGCCCACCCCCAATCCCCAAATTAAGAGGAACCACAGACATGTTAAACCCTTCCTGACCCATCCCATGCCTCTCGTGCGCCCCATGCACCTTCCTCAACCCATGCCCTGCCTCTCGCGCGTCCCCTCACACCCTCGCACACCCTCCCAACCCGTGCTGCGCCTCTTGCACACCCTCCCAGACCCGTGTGGCACCTCTTGTGCACCCCTTGGCACCCTCGTGCACTGTCCCCGACCTGCACAGCGTCTGTCTTGCACCCTCCCCGGCCTGCACAATGCTTCTCAAGTACCCTCGCACACCCTCCCCGCACCACACCTCTCGCGCACCTTCCCTGACCCTCTCACCCACCCTCTCCCTCCCTCCACCACCTGGCAGCAGCCATTTACCTGCCTGCGGGCCTGGGACTTGCAATTTTCTGCCGGTTTCCCCACTGACTTTGGTTGAGGGAAGCCGGCAGGAAGTTGCCTCACCTAATAACTCTGGGATTCAGTTAACGATGGCAACCAGGACTGCAGGGATTGCTATCACTAAGTGATGCAGTTGTGCTTTACAAACGCATGGTAATTCCAGTCCCAATTGCCGTCGTAAGTCAAGGACTACCTGTACAGTATTCCTAACAGGGTCACCCAAGGCTTCAAGGTCATCCCAGCTGCCTGGTTAAAGCAAGCTGGCATCTGTATTGGGCAGCAGTGATAGAGGAAGAAGCTGGAGGCAGATGATCACTTTGATGATAATGGCAAAGGCATCCATTCATCTGTGTGGGAGAAGGCCACGGTAAAGATCAGAATTGTGCAGGCAGTGGCATTCCCTGTGACACTCTATGGAAGGGAAAGTTGGATGCTGAAAAAGCCGGACAGGAAGAGTACTGACGCTGTTGAACTTTGGTGTTGGAGAAAGCTCTAATGCCAGGAAAGGTAGAAAGAAAGAGAAGAAGAGGACGACCAGCAGGAAGGTGGATGGACTCAGTTACAGGGGTGATGGGGGCACCGTTGGAAGACCTGAAAGACCTGGTTAGGGACAGATCATCATGGGGAAAATCTATCTGCGTAGTCACTAGGAGTCAAAAATGGCCCAACCAACCAATCAATCAATCATGCTGTGCAAATTCAGACTAGGTATTTTTGTGCTTGTGGTTTCATTCGCCTGTTTTGGCTTGCTTAGTTATAACTTCCATCCTAAAGGTCAGGATGAAAGAGTTCTGATTAATAGTATTGAATCGAGGGAAAGTTACTACACAAGAATTCCAGTGAGTGCCTCACTTTCAAACAAGAAACCTCTATGTAGGCAATCTGGGGTGGCAGATCTTCCTGTCCTTCTTTGGTGCAGAGGAAAGGAGGCCCTCCTCTTTCGTAAAGAGGGACAGCCTGCTTTTCTTCATTGCTTTGGTCATTGCTGTTCACTTGATCAGAAGGAGAACTAACTCTTCCAGTCAGTAAGGTGATCCTCATGTTTAAAGTTCATGGGGAAGCTACAGCTCGGCCTGCTTTTTCCATAGTTGCAGCCCTTGTTTCCCTGGCCTTCCTCAAGAGGACCATCCTAACGTATACGGGTTGTTGGAAGGTGACTTCCTGTCCCTGCCCCTCTGGAGTGTCAGGAGAAGGAAAACCTGGCTCTCAGCTCTCACCCTCCAACACGGAGAGGCCTCAGAGCGCTAAGGGGAGCTGTTTTACCAGAACTGTTGGAGTCAGGTTCTACAGGAAGAAATGGCTCTGGAGAAAGGGGGGCTCGTTTTGTTTTATTTCTTGTTGAAATGATATTGTAGGGAGAGATTCCACCTCAGAGGGGCAGGCAGATCGGCTAATAGAAACTATGTCCAGACATGGTATCATTCTGCAGGGCGAGCAATGTTACACAAGTGCAGAAAAAGAGTGAGACGCAGTCAGCCAAAGAAATCAAAGGACGGTGCAAGGAAAGGAAAGGCGCTTAAACTGAGTTCATGCCGCACCGTTCCCGGTACCTCTCCATGCCTTTCCTTCCTTGCCTCTACCATGTCCATGGGCTGGTTCGTATGTCGGCTTTTATTTTTTTAATTTCTCACACCTCGCTTTTTGAGGACCTCATCAACTCCATCCAGCCACAACTTTCTCAGCATTCCTCTTCTCTCAACTTACTTTTCATATATTTCCTTTGCAATTCAGTCCTTGGACGAACAAGCCACCTCAGTGTCCTCCAAGTATAAGACAACAGAAGCTAAAGTAAAGAGCACCTTTAAAACTGATGGGGAAAGTGGAGACCAACTTGAGTCCCAAAGGGTTAGGGACCTCCTGGGGGGTGGGCTGTGCTTCATCCGGGATATGACAGAAAGGTTTCCATCATCATTCGAATCTGCAACACCTAGCCTTTCCTCTCGATCCATGTGGGGATGAAGGATATAGGTAAAGGCGACTTTGAAAGAGACTCTGGAGATTACAAGGCCTTGGGCAGGAAAATGAAGGAACTGGGAGCACAAGTAGCCTTCCATCAGTCCTTCCAACTAAGAGTCATGGTAGAAAAAGAGGGAACAGAATCCTGGAAGTCAAGAAATGGCTCTGCAGATGGAGCTGTTGAGAAAAGCTGGGGTTCCACTGCAGTGGCCTGTGTTACCTTCCTCCTGGGAAGAGATGGTTACATCTTAGGAAGGCTGGGACGGAAGGGCTTGGCAGGCACCTCACAGGAGGGTGTTAACTAGAATAAAAAGGGGAGGGTGTCAAAGCCAGAACTGAATATGTAGCCAAGGAAGCAGAGGGAGAGGCAGGAGGCCAGGCTGGGGACCCAGAGTTTTTCAGGAAACCACCACAGAGAGGCTGGAGCCACTCAAAGCCTCAGATGTTTCTACATCATTGGGCAGGCAATGGGAAAAGAACAAGGAGGGCCAGAAATTCTGACTCAGGAAGACAGAAGCGATGTGCTAGGCATCACTGTCAGTTGATGGGATGATATTCATGTTTGGGACCCAGCAGTGGAAAGCTACAAGGAAAAGAAATTGAAGTGATACCATCATGAGAATTTATTTTAGACCACCTGGGCAAGCAGAAGATAGGATACTTTTTTGTGTCAGTCTTTCAAAGAGGCATATGATAGTGACAATGGGGGATTTCAATTATCCTGACAGCTGCGGGAAATCAGGCTGCCAAGAGTCAGAGATCAAACAAATCCTTGTCTTCTCTAGCTGACAGCCTCATTTATCAAACTAATTGTGGTGGGATATTAAACAAAGAGTTAAATAATTAGAAGGTGAAGGAAAGGGGGGGGGGGCATCATTTATTTTCCTGGACCTGATAGTCACTAATATAGAGGAATTGGTTGAAGAAGCGAAGGTGCCTAGCACCTTAGGAGAAAATTATTACGTTACTGTAATTTCCAGAGGAGCAACTGAGACGAGTTAGACCTGCATATTGGACTTCGGAAGACTTCCTTTTGGCTCTGTGATTCTCTTGACAAGCAGGTCTAGTTTGGTGATAGTACGGACTAATTTGAGATGCTTCACATCAGGATAGCTCGTAGCTCTTCCAGCACTCCCAACAAGAAAGCGGTCGCTACATCCTTCAGGATCTGCCACAGGCAACCCGTCCTGTCAAAAATGTCAGTCAAGGCCTGACTTTCGCTCTCAGCATCAGTCCAGCTTGGACTACTGCCTTGGGCTGTCTGTGGCAAAGTCCACCAGCTCGGTGCGCGTTGTTCCCCACAAGCGGTCTTAGGTTGGATAGGAGTTTGCACAACTAACGAGGGTTTGAAAGATGCCTTCACCTTCTCCTTGATGTTCCCCACTTCTGGCAAGCCTCACACATTCAGTCCCATGTCTCCCCTGTCCCGCCCAGTAAGAATGTTTCTCCATTTGGGCCCTGCCTTCCACCGCATGGGCCCATTTGGGTGGTTATGTGCCAAGTTTAAGATGTGCTTACAAACCTTGCTGGCCCCGTCTCGGGTTTGTCAAGCTATTTCTGTGCGCATCGTCTGTTTGAGGCCTCAGGGTGAGAGGGTTCATCCTCTGTTTTCTGAGACACCTGCCCTTTCACCCCACTCATTCATTAGGACCCTGAACCTGAACCTGGTCTCCAAGGGAGGCTCTGGGTGGTCCCTTGCTATCAGGAACTCCATCTTGGTGGACTCGGTCCTTCTCTCTCAGTGAAGAGAGGGTTCTCCGTACACTTTCTGCCAAGTCTTTTCTGAATAGGGTCTGCCTCCCATCAGTGCTGTTCCCAATCTTTCTGATTTAAAAAGGGCAGTTTCTATTTGGTCTTTGGCCAACAGCCTTTTCTTCAGCTCCATGGTTTCCCCCCTCTTACCATGATGTAGTTGCTTGGTAGTTCCCCTGCCACCACCCCACATCTTCTGGGGGGGCTCACCTGGTATCCTTTCCCTGTACCCAGTTTGTGAGATAAATACTGTCCTGACAAATAAAAGGTAAACATGGACAGTGACTTTGTTTGTTTGTTTGTTTATTAAACTTGTACGCCACCCATCTCCCCCAACGGGTGACTCTGGGC